GATAAAAACATTATATCCATTTTACAAATGGGCAAATTAAGGCTAATAGACATGAAACTTACCCAAGGACTCATAGCTAGTAAAGGATGAAACTTGAATATTTGAGTCCCAGATATCATGTGTGATCCCTGAGGCCAACCCACCATCACTAGAATCCAGGAGATTTTGTCATTTCTCCAAAATTAACCCCTATGATAGTTAAAATTTAGTCAAAGATAGAAACATTCTTTCATTGTACCTTACCACATAATAGAATTTTACTTTTGTATATGTATTTATTTTTTGTAAAACCATGGCAGCAATCCGATTTACATAACGAGTTATACATTGCTGCATTTCAGTATTACATTGCAATCGCCTTCTAAAAACAAGAAATAATAACAAGGAAGACAGTCATTAAAAAGTTCAATACTCAGGTTCTCACACTCAAAAAAATTATCAGCTAATGCTAAGCTTTGCAGGGGCTTTGTTAGATGTTAGTCTGTAGACTTCTTAGAGTCATTATATATTACAATGAGAAACTGGATAAGTCAATATTACATTGCTCCAGTGTGACCCTGAAATTATTTCTACACAAAACAGCATAACATTCAAGGCCTAAAGAGCAAGGGCTCACCCCATGAATGGAGATTCAATTTGTGATGTACTTTGGAAAGAATGCCCAGAATGGTCAACTAATCTGAAACATTAGACATTTTCCTTGTCCTACAAAATCTTAAAGCTCAACTTATCAAAACCATCATCATTTTAGAAGTTTAAAATAGGATAAGAGACACTGTATTAGTGTCCTACGATGTTAATAACAAGTTACTACAAACATGGTCGCTTCAAGCAATATAAATTTACCTGGTAATTCTAGAGGTAAGAAGTCTGAAATTGGTCTCATTGGGCTAAAATCAAGAGGTCAGCAAGGCTGTATTCCATATGGAAGCTCTAGAGGAGAATCTGTTCCTTTTCTTTTCCAGCTTCTAGAAGCTGCCTGCATTCTTTGGCTTTTTTTTTTTTTTTTAAGATTTTATTATTTTTAAGTAAACTCTACACCCAACATGGGGCTTGAACTTAAGAACCCCAGTATCAAGAGTCACATGCTTTACTGACTGAGCCAGCCAGGTGCCCCTGGCTCTATTTTTAAAGTCAGCATTGGACAGTCAACTCTTTTCACATTTTATCTAATACTGACTCTCTTGCCTGCCTCTTTCAATTATAAGGACGCTTGTGATTAAACCTGGCCCACCCAAATAATCCAAAATAATCTCCCTCCATTTTAACATCCTTAATCACATTTGCAAAGACCCTTTTCCCATGTAATATATATCTCACTGGTTCTGGGCATTAGGATTAGATATCTTTAGAGGCTATCACTCTGCCTACTGCAGACAGCACAGCATATAATTTGTGCACATTCTTCAATCTTCCTGAAAAGTAGTTACTGAAATACAGAATATATTTTCCTACCAAATGGCATATAGTTGTTAGACAAGTGTAGTCTACCAAGTCCTCAAAGGAGTAATCTGGGACATGGAGAAAGGGATGCAAGGGACAGCAACACAGGCAAAACCCTTTTACAATAAATCAGGTACAGGCTTCAGGCAAAGAAAGTTGAATTTATGTATGTGTGATATATTAATTCAAAATAACTTTGTTACACTCCATAGTTCTATTACCTACCTTTTCTGGTGCTATGTAAAAACAAATTCATGCTTATTTATAATTCATAAGTTTTCACAATTAGCATTTACAGATTCAGACACCCAACACACTGCTTGGCACATTGTAGAAGAACAAAGGAGTATGGAAATTTAAATTCTAGTCTGATTCTTCCACTTACACCCTGTGTGATCTTCAGCAAGTCACTTATAATTTCTGGGGCTATTCTCAGAAATTAAAAATAGGGATAATAAATAGCTCCTGCCCACAGGGTCGCTGTGAAATAAAATAGAATATATAATTGCCAAAGACATTCTCGGCCACTGTTAGTGCTCCATAAAATGTTAAGTAGTTGTTATTGGGTGAACTACGTCAGTAGCCTTGGGCAGCCAGAGAAAAGAAATTAGCATAAAACAGTAAATTTTCAGGCATTTATCCCAAAGAACTTCCATCATCACACAGAAACATAAAACATAAAACATAACATAAACATAAAACTGGAGAATTTTTAAGAATGACTGTTATAACTGGATAATTAAGTCACAGCATAAGATTTTACACAAATATCAGTTATCATAAGATGCAAAATTCCAAAGCTGCTCCAATAATATTTCAATAAAACATAGGATAGAAATACAGCAACATGGTTAAAAACTCGGCTCCCCTGTGAAAGGGCTCTAATGGGAAAGCAAGTTAAAACAGAGCAAAAAACCTCCCAAAGAGGCACCATGTGCACCACGCACTATGTTGGCCCAAGGAATAACTGAGGTAAGACCAAAGGCAAACCACCTCTGGTACCAGAAGTTTTGAAAGGCACATATTTAGAAAACTGTGTGATTATAAGTAGAATACCATTCAGCCTCTCATTTCAGTCTTTGCAGAAGTGTACTGGATGGCTCTTCCTTACACTAAATAAATGGCCTCAGCCTGCACTGCTTTCTTATTCTAAATTTGTTTTCTCCTGCTTCCTCCTTTGCGGCTAGGCTATCAAAGGTTCCTAACTGCCATTTTCACCTGTAGTGAGAGGTATTTCTAGGAAGTGAAGTGGGTGTTGGCCAAGAATTACATACATCCGTCCATGCCTCTTTGGGCTTGCATTCTATATTCTAAATGCAAGAGATTGTTAGATAGCCAATTTGAAAAGAGGTGAATTGTAGTTTTATCTAAGCTTGATACTGTCTCAAAGGATCTTGGGTGAATTTGATATATCACTAAACATTTACAAGTATCACTTCTAATTACTTCTTAATCTAAACTTACAAAAAAGTAAGGTCAAAGTCTGGCAGAACCTTCTTTCCATACTAGATACATAAACTATCAGAAAATCTTCAGACCGCAGAGACAATGTCAAGAAAAAAAGCAATGCTCTCCTTTTCACTTACATTATTTTTAAAAAGGAAAAATGGGAGCATGTATTTTTTTCCCGGCAATATCCAAAGTGTAAATTCTCATCTACTCTTCACACAATACCAATTAGGCTCGGTGTATTCCATGTGAAGGTACAGTAAGGAAATAGGCAAACCTGTGCCCAAACAGCACAAATCCTTTGCTAGGATTTTAACTGACTACCTCATTTTTTCACCTGATTCAGTAGTGAAGTCCCTTTAAAACCGAGATTACATATAATAAAAGCTGTTTCTGTGTCTAGTAAATGGATTATAGTTAAAAGGGCACTGCCAGGATAGTTAAAAAGAATTCTCTAAAGGGAAGAGCTCTGCAGGACAAATGATTTCCCTGAGCACTGCTCATGGAAACATCCTTCCTGTAATTAGGTCTTGGATAAGGCTGGGGTAAGACATTTTCTTCTGGCCCTTCTTAAACTTGCTACTTTCTGGCATTTAATTTTAATCCACTGGACATCAGTGAAATCAGAGAAGGGAAGACCTTCTTCATTAACAAACAGACCAAATGCCTAGACTATTTCAAAATAAGAAGATGGCTGCAGAAAGGCAGAAAGTGAAACAGATATACAGAAGTGAAAGTCTTCCCTTAAAGTTCAATGTAAATAATATATTATTATTTTCTGGGAGACCAAGCCATCAACAGGAAGTCTGCATCAAAATTATGTATTAACAGGAGTCAACTACAGAGAGTAAAGCTTTCTTTTCCACTCAATTCAGTTAAGTGTTCTTTGAGAATCAAGTGTGGATAAAAGACTGTACCAGATATAAATACAAAGAGCACAAAGGAAATAAAAATCTTCTGGTCCATGTCATCTAGAACTTACAATCTATTTAGGGAGATAAGTCCATTATGAAATGAGTAATTATAAAACAAAGCAAATCAGTAAACCAGGGTTGAGTTCCAACAGAAAACAGGGAAAATAAATGGACAGAATGTCCGCAAAGACTAACGTAAATTTGAACAGTCCAAAAAGATCTTACAGAAAAGGAAACATGTAAATTTTACCTGAGTTCAATAAATCACTTATTCATAATCCAGGGCAGTTGGTACACACACACACACACACACACAGACACACACACACAGACACACACCCTCCCTGAGAGTGCAGAAAAACAAAAGAGAGAAACACGTATACACACATAAATTAGCCTCGTACAAACAGCGCTAAGGATACACAGGAGAAGAAACTCTGAAGCAAGGATCCCTCAGGGAGCAGTGTGCTTCAATTCGGGAGGACACAAAAACTGCTAGAAGGAGCCCAACACAGAAGCAGTCATAAAACAATGTCTCAACAGCAAAAATTCAGTGTGTGGCAACTCAAGTATCCTCTCACACCTTTTCCAATTTATCATCAGAAGAAAAATCTTATTAAAATAAGATGTTTGCAATGGGCTTATTCCCAAGTAGGTGGCAAAATATGTTCCAACTTTTTGGAATATTCAAGTTAGTGTTTTAGCAATGAAAACAAAGACCATCATGAAAGACGGGTGTTTGCCAGGTACTTAAAAAAAAAAAGGAAAGAAAGAAAAAATCTTCACCATAGTTCCTCAGAAGATTTTTCTCCCCGTTGTATTCTCTATTTTGAACACATTCAAATCACAGGCATTGAGTTGAATATTTAGCAAGGGCCAGGAAGAAACCCCAGAGCCAACAATGGCAATGAGAACTCCAACGGCCTCGGAGCCTGACGCTAATTTACTGAGACACATCAGGAACTTTTGGGAATGAAGTGTCTGCTAATTAGGCCACCATGAACAGATTCCCAAACCTTGACAAAGTTTTTCCCAAACCTCTGATGAAGAACTTTGATTTATGGGCTGTTCAGGTGAAGCCTGAACAGATGGTATCTTTTAATAATAATTGACACATGAATTTGTTAAGGATCTCAATCTCTAGGAAACATGCAGCTCTATGGAGGAAAACAAAGGGGAGTTTCAGTCTTCTACCTTATCTTTGTCTTCAACGACATCTGCCAAAAGATCATCTGGATCCAGGATTCCTCCATCTGTGTATTCTAAGTGATGAATCTTTACCCAGTAGCCAGGATCCTATGGTACAACAATCAACAAGTTTCATGATGTAAGCTTTTTAAAAATACAGTTTAATTTAAAAAATAAGCTGACTCATTAAAAATAGGCTCTGGTAATGAAATGCTTGAACACCAAAAATAAATGTTACTTCTATTTCAATAAACATTTGCCATTTTTATCCTGTTTCAGGTAAATCAGTAAATCAAAGCATACATATTTCATCAATTATCCCGGAAGATAAATTGCAATGCAAAAATAAAGTGCCACGGTTATCTGAAAAGCATAGTCAAGAAATTTTTTATAACTTCAATTTAGGTAATCCCAAGGATACTTTGGGGGAAGAAAAAAGATCTTCTTGAGGGTACTCTTTGAAATGGGATTAGAAATTCAAACTGACATTCCCAAAGTTGTAGGCATGTCCTCAACTCCAAGATTTGAGATGACATGTAGAGCAAGAGCTCCACACAGCAGCAACTCGAACTGTGTTTGGAGCTGAACGAGGAGTTCTCTGAACAGGAGAAGTGATTTAGGAGATTTCCAAGTACTATTTTAAAAACCTGCTTAGGAAAGTAAGGTTTAAGGAAAAAGAATTATTTTCTCAATTTGATATGTGGCTAAATACTCTGATGCTAGAACTCAGAATTAAATGACGCAACTCATTCAGTTCCACACGTACTGCCTACTTCCAGAGAGGATACAAAAGGTCAATCAGAATAATGAAACAAAAATATGAACTGATGAATGAAGAAAAACATTAGCAAGTTTTTTAGCAGAATACCTAAGCTATCATCAATCTGGCTCTGTGATTCTTAGAAAGCTTCTCAAAGTGGGAATAATTCTTCTAGAATAAAGTGCTAAGCCTTTATCATATGAATCTTTATGAAGGATAAGAACTAACATAGCCCACAAAATCCAACTGCAATTTTACAAAAACTAATAGAAATGGTTGTCACACAGGCTCCTCTTTACCCACCCCCCAATAAAAGCCAAGGACATATTATTAAATAAAAGTAATGCTTTTAAAGCATCTATGCAGAGGGCTACTGAAATGTGGCCTATGTACATAGCTTTTCAGTAATCTGACTTGGTCAAGTCATAGGCTTAAAAAAATCCAAAGGAATTCTCCTTTGACATTTCAAAATTAAGTTTTCTATAGAGTACCCGAAGAGCTATTCCAAGTAAAATGAAAGGAATTTCTTTGCTTCTAATATAGATGGAAACACTAATGGTTAGGAAACTTTAACTACCTGATTCTCTTACCCAGAAAGATCACAAAGATATGAGCAGTCACTGTATAACCAAGTAAAGTACAGCACACCCATCAATCAGATTCTTTAATCAGAAATCTTTACCAATTCAAGGTGATTGTGCTATAAAAGGTGAGCTAAGTACAACAGACTAGATTCTAAATAAGGAGAATACTAGATAGACAAAATATTATGTAGCTGCCACTGGACCATACAGAAAAGAAAGAACTCCCCCTGTAATCTTTGGGAAGTCAGTCTTTTGGCTGTGGCCATGCCATAGGCAATGTATTTTTTCCAAATATACCCAGGACTTCTAATTGAAATCTATAGGGTATTACATTTTCCTTGTCAAAATTGCCTTCTTACAAAGGGAGTTCAATTTAATTAATTTCTATTAATATCCATTGAGTTGGTTTTTGATATATTACAGCACTGTAGATGAAATCTGTTGAGTCTAACCATGTTTGTGAAAGGTGATGTATTCTGAAAAGTTCCACAGAGTTTGCTTTTTTAACATATTCAATTACTTAAAAGCAGACATCTATTAAGTTGTCTGCTTTTTTCTCATGCTCAGTTTGTAAAAGTAGATTTTATCACCTAAGACTGAGGTAAACAACTACCCCCCAACAACTGCAGTGTGAGTTAAAGTGTGCCTGTTTTCCTGCCTAGAGGTAGGAACAGAGAGGAGAAAACCAAGGACTCTGATTTTAAAATAGGGAAACTCAGGAGGTAAGAGGGGACAGGATCTGATCAGTAGCAAAGGGAGGAACAGAGAGGTGGCAGCACAAGGGGGCTGTTAAAGTCACACAGCATTCTGCTATCACACATACTTGCAGGATCTAAGACCCTCTGGAAAATAAGACCTAGGAGTTGCAACTATGACATTTATCTCTAATCATCTAATTGCGATTCAAAGGAGTACAGGAAAAAGTCTTACAGAACTAAATCAAGTAATAAAGTTATTTTGAACATTTTGGAATCATACATTCAATCCAAAAAACTTTTCAAGTGAAATACATGGTGCCAGAATATAAAAAAATCCAGCAATTCTAACAATACTGTCTCACATTGATACTGCCATTTTATACATTCCAGAAAAGAGTAGACTAATGATGAGCACACATCCAATCCTGAACAAAAACAGACAAGCTGTATCAACGTCGTCTCAGTTAATATTTTACATGTCCAAGGGAGGTAAATCAACAAACACAGCACGTACTAACTGTAATTTTGTCCCCATGGTATTTTGGCCATGGTGCTATAGATCACTTTAAGAATATACATACAATATTAGCAGCCGACAGCCATTATAAGACCATAAATTCACCCTGACTCCTTTATGCATGTAAAAACTTCAACCATTACCTTGCAGTCAAGATTTTGCATTTCATTTACTTAGTTTTATTACCACCAGGAATAAAACTGATCAAACATGAAAAGATGTTCACATGTGTGTCTAGTTTCACACAATTAATCACTTGCAAAAGTTTACCGTATTCTTCAGGATCGTGACATTAATTTACCTTTCTTTTGCACAAATATCTGTAATATATAAAACAAATTATTTTGAAAATATCTCTAGTAAAAGTGTTACACAATAAATCTTACAACTTACACTCCTAGGTTCTTTTTTTTTTTTTTTTTTTTTTACAGATTTTATTTATTTGACAGAGAGAGACACAGTGAAAGAGGGAACACAAGCAGGGGGAGTGGGAGAGGGAGAAGCAGGCTTCCCACGGAGCAGGGA